ATTCAGGAACAAACGCTAGCACAGCGCTATGACTCCATCAGCTATTCGTGTGCGTTTAATAGACTAAATTCTTATTCCATATTACCTGAAATCCCTTCTCCAGGCTCTGGAAAGTGGAAACTAGTTCACCCGAGCGACAGATTACAATTAGAAACCAATGATCATCGTTGGGTTCCTGTGTGTAACTGTTGAAGATGGGCGAGACGTTGACCGTGTTTAATCATCACCGAACTGAGGCCGTAACCCTTTTGCTCCCTGCTAAGTGCACCTCCATCAGAGCCTCTAGCGCATTCACTAATTCAATATGTCAGAAATCTTTACGCGCCCCATTCTATCTTCGGAGGCTGGTGACATAGGGTCTACTCGATAATGACCTTGCAACGGACACAGGGCGTTGGCTAGCCTCTTTTGGAGATATGCTCGTGAAAAGCTAAATAGTCTCATGGTCTATCCCGCGAATCGGTTGGACGGGATAGAGATGCCGAGACAAGTTGCATTCTTTCTTGAGTCTGGGGCTATATACGATCGCGAAGTTTGCGCAAACCTTCATCAACCAATGGTCATATTTCAAAGATCTCTCGTGAAATGACACCCGAACTCAGGGTAGCCATGTCCTACTTCCATTTCTACCACTCTCGTGTCTATTCTTTTCAAAGCTCACTTTATCTGAAGGTGGCGTTAGCGGTTGAACAACCATTTGACTGACTGCTTCGCGAAAGTGGGTTATCTCACGGGACCGGGGTTGTTCATTAGGTAGTTTCCAAAGCGCGCAATTCTGTTTCTAGGGTTCGTGAAACCTAAATAAGACATCGTGACCTTCCTTGAGAGGCAGCTTTGGCTCCAAGAGGCGAGACCATAATTCCGATATTTTGAGCTGAGTTTATATAGATGGACCTCTTCTCGAATCAATTGTCCTGAAGACCAGAATCCTCATCCTTCTACAAATTAAATGGTGTACATTCGAATCTTTCTCCGTTCCTGGCCGTCTAAAACCGGCCGTTGGGAAAGGTGCCGCAATTGGCCATGTCTTGGAAATATTTACGGTATATTCACATTCTACATATATATGATCCTGAAGATGGTGCTCTGGCCCTTTCTTATTTTATTTGGATCCTAGCTGTCAAATTCTCTCTTTTGTGGAGTGCGTGGCCTCAGGTGGTACTTCAGCGCTCCCTTAGACCCAACTCCTTCAACCCGTTCAGTTATCATCATCTGTCTAACACCTGTTATAAACCGATGATTGGCTTGGTCCATGAGGAAAATACTGCAACTTAGGCGAAAACGCCAAGTGGAGCCACCCTTAAGGCAAGTTGAGAAAGGCGACCCACAACCATTGCCCAGTCTCCCGGTCGAAGTCTGGCTCATAATCCTCCAAATGGCTCTTCGTCCAAGCATTGTGGTTGATGCCGAATTCGAACCATTCGAAATCGACCTAGTGCGTACATATCTTGACAGGACCTCTAGAAGAAGCGAGAGGGCAGCTCAGGAGATTGTCTCAAGAAACAAACGCGCTTTAAGAGCAGTTTGCCGCTCATGGAAAAAATTGGTAGACACTATCGAAGCTATGTGGGCTTGGGATGTCACGTGTTGTGAGGATGCACCTCCTGTTATCACTGACCCGTATCGATGCCCGAGACTGAACCAGTACCACCAACTTCCCCTTGGTGCTCAAATCAACGGCGGATATACGTACCCAGTCTCTACCCTCATGATGGAGATCAACTTTCATGACTATCACCATCTTGGTCCAATACATATGACATCCTTAAAAGAGGTCGTATCATTCCCTAATCACTTAAGAGTGCTCATTCTTCAGCTCGAGTGTTGCAAGGCCTCTGGGGATGTTCTGAGAGATATAGAAGTGATGCGCATACCTTTGACAACACTGGGATTGCGCATAGACTCGATTGATATCTTTCAAACATCGTTAGAGATTCCAACATTGATCAGTCTATTTGTAATGACTCCAGAGTATAATACACGGAACTGGAGGGAGGTAGCGTCCCACTTTCG